ACAAAAATGCTGTCCTAGGGGAAGACTTTTTTAGAAACTTTATTTTTCCCCTGTTAACTTGGATATTTTGTAGAAAAAAAAAAAATGAAGTTCAGAAGTTCACAGGAGTTATTGCTTGTTATAGTTTAAAAAAATAATAAAACAAATCCACAGCTAGACAGGACACTTCATAGATTAATTTGATGTTACAGAACTTGTTGAACCTGAAAGAGACATTTCATTAGTTTTTGTGCTATAGTTTTAAATCACTTCAGTATAACTTATTTGCCTAATACAAGAGCTTATAGCCCCACTGTAAAATAAAGGGGGTCAGGACAGCTCCCAGCAGAAAGCTTGACTTTACTAGCAAGATCTTTGCAACATGTAATTCTACCAGAAATTCACTTTCCTTAGTGGATTGCAGTCTCATGACTTCAATTGCTGACATTTCCTTATTCTAATTAAGAAATACTCTTCACCATTGGAAGCCTGACCACGACATAAGCCACTCTTTCATAGACAAAGCCAGAAATGTTCAGTGAGCCCCAAAGTCAGTTACTAGGTGACCGTCGGCACTTCAAAGTACGAGACAAAAATAGTGTACAATTTTCATTCATGTCAGGCAATGCACCTGCAACATGGTTTTTTTTGTGGAGATCAGGAGGTCACTTTGGAGTCAAACATTAGTCTGACTCTTTCTTGCACAGCCTGAGTCCACAAAAACAAAATGGTTGCTGCCTGTGGCACCTTTTAAAATCATACTAAAAATAGGATTACCTTATCTAACACAGTATACCTTGTTCTGTTTACTTCAGCTTTAGGAATACTAAAACAAAGGCCTTGAGAACTGCGAGAAGGCACAGATATAGCAAAAATGAGGTTCTCTATGCTCCTAGAAAAAGAGAGAAACTGTAAAGGAGCCATTTAACTACTTGGGACAAACCTAAAGGAAGAAAGAGCCTGGAGAGAAGACACTAAGAACTTAACATAGTTGTTTAGCAAAGAACTCCCTGGAAAATCCACTGCTCAAAGGGAATCATTAAATTGCATTGTGCACTGTGTGCTGAAGGTACAAGTGTTAGAACAAAAGCCTTTAGTCATAGATGCTTCCTTCATCATATTTGAGTTTGATGCTTCTGGTCTTCAAATGACCATCTCCAGGAGCAGATTCACAGCAAGGGTATTCATCAAAGCATCCAAAATTAAATGTGTATGTAGAAAGGTAGCTAGAGTTTCAAAGAATGAGAACTTCTGGATCATTGCATGAAAGACAGAATGTGTTTAAGCAGCTTCACCTTGCACTCATGTACCTTACTGATATCAGGCAATACTGATATCATTTGCCCTGCTTGATCAGAAATCTAGGCGTATCAGCTGACGACTGGTCATGAGCCTAGCTTTCCCTAGCTGTCAGTGTGGAGTCAGGTCCTCTTTAATACCTTTATCGATCATCAGGATGAGGGGATTGAGTGCATCCTCAGCAAGTTTGCAGATTACAGCAAACTGGGAGGAGGAATTGATCTGCCTAAGGGTAGGTAGGCCCTACAGAGGGATCTAGACAAGCTGGATTGATGGGCTGAGACCATCAGGTGGATTGATGGGCTGAGGTTGTGTGAGGTTCAATAAAACCAACTACAAGGTCCTGCACCTCAGTCACAACAACCCCATGCAGCACTGCAGGCTTGGGACATAGTTATTGGAGAGCTGCATGGTAGAAAATATTCTCTTTGAGTGTTGGTTGATAGCCAACTGAATATGGGCCAGTTGCATGCCCAGGGGGCCTCCTGGCTTGCATCAGGAGCAGCGTAGCCAGCAGGATCAGGGAAGTGACTGTCCTCCTGTATTTGGTGCTGGTGAGGCTGTACTTCAAACGTTATTTTCAATTTTGGGCTTCTCACTACAAGGACATTGAGGTGCTGGAGCATGTCCAAAGAAGGGTGACCAAGCTGGTGAAGGGGCTGGAGCACAGACCTTATGAGGAGCAGATGAAGGAGTTTGGATTATTTACTCTGGAGTAGAGGAGGCTCAGGGGAGACCTTATCATTCTCTACAACTACTTGAAAGTAGTTATAGTGAGAGAGATCTCTTGATCTCTTCTCCAGAATAACTTCCTATAGGATAAGAAGAAATGGCTTCAAGTTGTACAAGGGGAGTTGCAGGTTAGACATTCAGAAGAATTTCTTTATAAAAAGAGTGCTGAAGCATTGGAGCAGGCTGCCAAGGGACGTGGTGGAGTCACCATCCCTGGAAGTGTTAGAAATATGTAGATGAGACACTTGGAGGCACAGTTTAGCAGTCATGGTATTTAAGGGTTTATAGTTGGACTCAATGGTCTTGAAGGTCTTTTCCAACTATAATGATTCTAAGATTTAAGGGTTTATAGTTGGACTCAATGGTCTTGAAGGTCTTTTCCAACTATAATGATTCTAAGATTCTATGATTCTATGAATCTATATTTACATCTTGAATAGGTCATAGAACTTGGAGCTGTCTCATAAAGTCACTTGACCTTTGGAAGGCATCTGGGAGGTATTACTGTGGGTGGTTTCTTAGTTTATATTTTCTCAGAGGATCATCAGACACTTCAAGCAGCTACACTCAGATTGTATGACCAGTCCGTCTTTGCAATTCCCACTGTATAGCAGGTGAAACAATAAAAAAAAGTATTGAGTAATGAACATTAATCTGTATTCAGACCCTTTTAATAAATTATAAATAAATATATCTGCCTCGGTCCTTTGAATTCTACCCTCTCATGTTTAGCTATGTGTTTTTAGTGGCAACACAATCTCCACAAGCTGTAGGCCCAACCAAGTCATAAGCTATTTTTAAAAAAATAAAAATAATCTGAGCTGTGATTTAAAATAGGGTGTGGTGAAACTGTGAGGATGAAAAGTTTGACTCCATATCAATAGGCAGTTGGGACCTCCTGGCAATTCCTTCACTTCCTCTTCAGGGAACATAAGATTATTGTAGAATTAGCTATGGCATATTTTTGCATACAGTCAGCTTCTCATTTTGAACCTAGCTTAAGCGTTCCACAGCAGGAAATCAAAAACTACCACATGCTACCTTTCATCATCAGGACAAACCTTTTCTTCCAGGCATTTTGGCTCCACTAAGCTGAATAACACAGACTTTTAGGCTTAAAATTGAAATGGTCCCTGACTTTTAAGTTTAACTCTTTGTGGGAGGGAGGCTGGAAGGATATTTGCAAAGGATTTTTTGGCCTGCCTGAAGCATCAGCAGCAAGAGACAAATCTTGCTAAGCCTGTTAGAAGACACATTCTTAGGAAGGCAGAAAGAGGAGAAAGGCAAGGATGATACAAAAGAACTGAGAATAGAGGACCAGGGATCCAGGCATGCTGTAGGGCAGGTGGAGAAGGTGGAATAAGGATCTTGAGCTGAAGCTTAAACAAAAAAATGGAATCTGTATACTGTACATAGTCACCTGATTCCCTGCTGTTGCACAACTGGAAAAAGAGAAGAACAAATACTGCAAGAGAATAATGAATTTATCAAACTTGAATATCTGTTCACTTCTTTGCTTTAGAGTGATTTATGTTTGAGTTTAAAGACCCATCTGCCCTGTATTTTTGAGTATTAAACTGGTGTTTTGGGTTTGTTTAGTGAGCTCAGTAAAAATTAACAGATTCTTGTACTTGATTTCCTTGTAGTCTGCACTTCCTCTCCTCTTCCTTACCTCTTGTTACTTGCAGCTTTAGCTTGAGCAAAATTTTTGAGGAGGTGGCATCATATCTTGGTATCACAAAGCGTAAAACAGAGGCAACGAGAGGCAGGCAGAGAGATAAAAAGGTCACATATTATAAGTAAGAAACATAGACTTAAGTTTTCATTTCTATTTCACTGTGTTTTTCACGGAGTATCTTATTTTAATTATAAGCATTTCAGGAGTGCAGTATTTTTGTGTTGGCTAGTATGTTTCAATGAAATCCAATGTCATTGATTTTCTTCTTTGTGATTTTAGTATTCTTGTAGCTTTCAAAAGAAAAGTAGTGATTCTTTATCCTTCTCTCTTTCTCTCTTTGTCTTTATCTCTTTCTCTCTTTCTGAATTCCCTGTAGAAGATTCTTTTTCTCTAGACAGGAAACTCTTATCTCTGACTGAATGGGCCAAAGAAAAGCATTGGTTTTGTAGACTTCCATAACATTCATGTGGCTTGGTCTTGGAAGACTTGCTTAGGGACTCTGAAACTTTCATTTTCAGAGCATTCAAAAGACATTGTGGATAGATCACAAATGCCTCTCTTCCATTAAATGATTCTTTCTAATTTTTATTTTCCGTTAATGTTTACTTAGTCACTACACCTCACAGACGGGTTGGAGTTTTCATTCATGTTTCTCCTTCTAATGCTAATGCTGACAGTCAATATTACTAAGGTTGTTTTCCCTTCCCTTTCCTTCCCTTCCCTTCCCTTCCCTTCCCTTCCCTTCCCTTCCCTTCCCTTCCCTTCCTTTCCCTTCCCTTCCCTTCCCTCCCCTCCCCTCCCCTCCCCTNTGCCTCAAGGGTCTGTCTGCCGCTGACGGGCGGCCGCCTTCGCGCCCGTGCAAACAGTCGTAAATCTCTGCGGCGGCCGGCGGGGAGGCGCTGCCGCCTGCACGGCTGCCCCACGAGCGCCGCTGCAGCCCCTGGTGCGGGTGCGTGGGGGGGGCTGCAGCGTTGCCCCCCACTGCCCCGCGTTGCAGCCCCCATTGCAACCCCCACTGCAACGCCACATTGCAGCCCCGCGTTGCAGGCCCCATTGCAACCCCCACTGCAACGCCACATTGCAGCCCCGAGTTGCAGCCCCCATTGCAACCCACACTGCGACCTCTGATGCAACAACTCCCCCCACAAACTCACGGTGCAACCCCACACTGCAATCCCCACTGCAGGTCCAACTGCAACTCACGCAGTAAACCCTGCTGCAGCCCCACATTGCAACCCACGCTGCAACCTCCTGATGCAGCCGTGCACTGCAAATCCCCGCTGCAACCCCACTGCCACCTCCAGTGCAGGCCCTATTGCAACCCGCCCTGCAACCCACCCTGCATCCCCGCACTGCAGCCCTGCGTGCACCCTCCGGGACGCCGCAGCCCCGCGCCCCACGCGGCAGCGTGCCTACCGTCCTTGCGGTAGAAGCAGATCTCCACCTTGCGCTCCTCGGAGCCCAGCAGCGCCTGGGCGATCTGGGCGGCGGCGCTGCGCTGCGTGCGCGGCCCGTGCAGGAAGTCGCAGGTGCAGGGCTTCTGCATGACCTCGGCGCGCGTGTAGCCGCACAGCTCGCAGAAGCCATCGTTGCAGTAGATCACGGCGCAGTTCTCCACGCGCGCGTTGGCGATGATGAACTTGCGGCCTGCCGAGGGGTCCTCGTGAGCGCGGGGTCYGGCCCCGTGAGACCCTCAGGCCCCCGTGTTGCAGCGTGGGGGGCCGTGCTCGAGGGACACGGCGGGGGAGCCCCCACCCGTGCAGGGAGCCCCCCCACTGCCCCGCGCGGGGAAACAAGGTCCCGGTGCCCGGAGCCGCAGCCGGGAGGCCCGGCCCGGCCCGGTGGGTTCAGGGGGGAGCCCCAAGGCAGCAGCGGCCAGAGACCCCCCGTGCACCCGGTGCCGCGATGCCACCACCCCCAGGGACAGGGACGGGGGGACACGAGCCCCGGGGCCTGTCACACTGCTGCCCCCCCCCCCATGCATGGCCCACCCACTGCCCCCAGCAGGATGTGCGCCCACGTGCCCTGGCATTCCCCGATCCTGCTGCAGGGAGCACCCACGTGCCCTGGGACACCCCCATCCCACTGCAGGGAGCACCCACCCGCTGCAGGACTCCCTGATCCCACTATGGGGAGCACCCACATGCCCTGGGACACCCCGATCCCACTGCAGGGAGCACCCACCCGCTGCAGGACTCCCTGATCCCACTATAGGGAGCACCCACGTGCCCTGGGACTCCCCAGTCCTGGTGCAGGGAGCACCCACCCGCTGCAGGACTCCCCAGTCCCACCATGGGGAGCACCCACATGCCCCAGGACTCCCCAGTCCTGGTGCAGGGAGCGCAGCCTCCCTGCCCATGCACCCCCTGCCCTGGCCCCTGTTGGGCAGTGCAGAGTCACCCCAGGAGGCCAGGCAGAGCCCATGGGGGGCACAGACAGGGCACACTTGGGGGCCCCGCTCCAGGACACTGATCACCCCCAGGACCCCCCCAGTTCCTATGCACGGGGGCTGCAGCGGCTCTCATGGGGCAGTTGCTATGCCCCTGCCTGGGGGCTCGGCCTGTCCCAGGTGCACCAGGCACCCCAAGTGCTGGGACACCCCCAGACCTGGTGCATGGGACACCCACACCCTGGAGCACCCCAGCCCGGGGCACCCCCGTTACAGCGCATGGAGCATCCTGGGTCCTGGAAGCCCCCCCAGCCCTGGACACACCCARTGGTGCATCAGGCACCCCAAGGGCTGGGGCACCCCCAGCCCAAGGTACCCCCAGCCCTAGAGCACCCCCCACCATGGGGCTAGGCTGTCCCTAGAGCATCAGACACCCCCCGTGCTGGGTCCCCCGCCCAACCCCCAGGGCGCCCCTAACCCCTCAGCACCCCCGCCGTGGGGCAGGACTCTCTCCAGCGCATCAGACACCCCACATACCGGGTCCCCCCAACCCCAGAGCACCCCCCGCCGCGGGGCAGGACCCCCTCCAGCGCACCGGGCACCCCAAGTACCGCCCCCCCCGGCCCTCGGGCGCGGGACGCCGGCCCCCCGGGGCCCCCCACCCGCCGTCCAGGCGCCCCCCGGTGCCAGCGGGCGGCCCCCCCGCCGCCGCCCGCACTCACTCTGCCCCTCGAACTTGCGGATGATGGTGTCGAGGAAGGTGTTCTGGGGGGCGACGTGCCCGCGCCGCACGGGCATGGCGCCCAGCCCATGGGGCCGCGGGGCCGCTCCGCTCCGCGCAGTCCCGCGCAGCGGCGGCTCTTACCTCGCCTGGCTGCCGTGCGCGCCCGCCTCCTGCCCTCGTGCTCGGAGGCGCCGCGCTGCGCTCCGCGGGGCCGCTCCGCGGGCTGCGCAGGGAGCGCGGGGCCGAGGGGCTGCCCGGGTGCGCTCTGCCGAAAACTGGCAGCAGTTTTCGAACTGAGCCTTTTTTTTTTTTTTTTTTTTTTTTTTCCTACACAACCTCCTCCCCCCCTTCCCTTAACTCCCTCCCTCCCTCCCTCTCTCTCTTTCCTCTCTCCCTCCTTTCCCTCCCCTTCTTTCTCTTTCCTTCCCCTTCCTTTTCTTTCTTTTTTTTACTTTCCCTTAGATGGTCTCTAAAGTTTATATGCAGAACTAAAGCTGATTACAAGCTTGATGTCCTTCAAACATTGTGTCCTTCTTTTGTGCAGTTTCTTTCATATTTACATCTCCCCTAGAGTGAAGTATTGAATGAACCTAACAGCTGAGACTTTGATCAGCAATCAGATCTTCATATTTCTTCGTGGTTTCTTACCTTCCATGAGATCTTTATCTTCTTTATAGTCCTGCAGCAGATAAGTGAATCTGGGGTGAAGCAGCAAAGACAAACAGCGGGTTGCTCCCTTAGAAGGAAGGGTCTGGATTAGTAGAACAGATCAAAACAAACAGGAATTCTTGGATACTCTTTTTTAATATGTTTGAGAGCAGTTCAAGCTCTCCCTCTCCTAATATAAAGATCCCCATTTCCTCTGTCTTCCAAGCAAAATTTCTGGTGATTTAAAGAAGACGTATTTTGAGAACCTACTTTTTAAAGTCATAAGTCCTTTGAGGACTTAAAACTTCCTCTAGCTTTGCTTTGCAGCTGTAACAGTCTGAAAAGAATGTCGCTTTGCTTCACTCAGCCCTTCCTATAGGTATTAGCTGGAATGGGGTGATTTACCTGGACTGTATTTTGTACTATGTTAGGCACAACAGTCAAGTGTGTCTAGTATGTGACCCCACTTTTGATAAATAAGTTAATCCCTGAAAGGATGTAGTGTAAAATAGAGAAAAGTCAAGGATCACCTTAAAACCAGCTGTCAGAAGTTAAATATGTATTGTCCAGGGAAGGACTTATCTTCTCTCTGCAAATTATTCTAATGCAGATGTGGGAATGTGGGAATACTTAAGACACATGTGGCATCTTGTGAAAATAAAGATTTGTTTTGGCTGAGCTAGCTGTATTAGTAAATAGAGATCCTGCTTTGAACTAGATCTTAGTTCATAGCCTGCTGCTACCTTGGGATTAATTTCAGAATTTCTGCTTGTTTTTAATATAGAGAAATTATTTCCAGCTGATTTTTAAGGTCTTTGTATTCTTCAAACAGGCAAGCTACTGAAAAGAGATGGGAAAATCAGAAAAGACAGAAAGTGACAGAAATTTTAGATAACATCCACTGTTTCTTTTTTCTTTCTCAGTTCTGAAGAAACATTACCCTAATTCTATAGAATGGTGGTCTTGCCAGCAGTTGGAGTTCTATGCATTTATTCTTCCTATGCTGTGTCTTTGCTGAAAAGTCCTCCCTTACTTTGTAGAAAGATTTGGACTGCACAACTACCTTTGCTCTGAAGCATTGCTGTGAGACATCTGGCTTCTGCCATCTTATGCTGAGATTCTTTCTTCCTAGGACACTATTTAGGGTGTTGGACTATCATTTGCCTCTCTTGGTCTACAAGGTAATGGGAATGCTTGCAAAAACAGACAGATGGACAGACAGATATCTAGTAGAGTTATTGAGTCCTGTTGTATTTTTCTGTTTTGAGGGTGTCAGCTTCCAAGAGTGAAATGGATAGGATAAGTGATAGGAGAGACTACGGTGTGAGAGAGTTACGAGGAGATAAATAGTATGCTGGAGGAAAGGAGCAAAGATCTTCCCCTAGAAAAGTTTAGACTGGTCACAATTCACTTGTGATTATGAGGTAAGAAAGATGTCCCTCAGAGGTGATGCTACAGCTGGGCATGCCTACGCTCCACAAAGTCATACTAAAAGTCACAAATTTCCAAGCACTACTGTAGCTTGTCTCTACATGAAGCAGTCTCTCTGCTTCACTTCCATGCCTTCAAATAACATATCGCTGGTTTCTTTTTCTTAAAAAAAAAAAGGGGGGGCGAAAAGAAAAAACAAACTTGTAAGGTCTAAAAATGTTGGTGCCCTGGTGGATGGAAGTGGAGGCAGCTTCAAAAAGAGCAGCATATTGGGAACACACATTACTGAGTGGCTGTAAACATGGTCAACTTGAGCGCTTGTCCCTAGAAGCTACTGGCTTCCCAATTCATTACTTTGATAAAAGTAAGAGTACCCTTTTTCCTCCTGGAAGCAGGGGATTGTAGGTAGATTTTTAAAGTGAGCAAGGAGAGGTATTTCTACATCTCCACTACATACATAGTATTTAAACTTCAAGTTATTTTTCTTCTGTGTTTCAAGTCCAAGTTTACCAAGGGGTTTATTGTATGCCCTACTTTACTGTAAAGTATTTATGTAAAGTATTTATGCCTCATTTTACTTTTCAGATCTGATAAACCCTTCAACTATACATAACCACCTGGCCTTTTAGGCTAAACCCAACACGCTATAAAAATGGTCTCGTCTGGGTGATTATTAAGGGGAGAAAGATGCTTGCAGTGTATCTTTTGGTTAAGATGTAGTATTTTAAGTAAGTTTTGACCATAATTTATAATATCTGTTAATCACAAGCACTAAGATTTTATTGTTGTAACTGTAATTTGACTGCCTGGATACTGCCATGCAGATTTAAACAAACTTTGCTATTCTGAATTTTCTGAGATAGTATTCTGTGGTACGAGTACCTAACTGAGCTCAGTTTGCTGTTGCAAAAGTATAAATGGAAAGAAATACCTGAGAATTTGATACTTTTCTCTGTATTTAGCCAGAATTTGACCTACACAGTAACTGCTTGCTGTTGCAATCCATCCTAGAAACTGCTGTGATTTCATCAGAAATCCAAAAGCTATATTTGGTCTTGCTAGAAAACTGATCTCTGTGACTCATATGTAGATTAGTAGAGGCATGCAAAATTCTTGAGTTGCCATCTTTCATCAATAGATACTAATAGTATATTAAATCTAAAAAGATATCAAAGAAATGGTCACTAATAGAAAGCTACTCTTTCTGTTATGTATTTCTTACACAGCACTCTAGAGGCAGGCAAAGTGAAGAACTTTGGGTAGTGTTAAACATTAGGAGACGTGGGAATGGTGAGTAGCATTTTGCTGCTTTGGATTTTTAGCTGCTCTGTTGCCCATAACTTACTTCTAGAAGAAGTGTGTAATGGAGTCTGGAACTCCATTCAGGGAGTTCCAGAAGGGATGTGTCATTTTACTTTGTATTTTAATCTAAATACATAAAACAAGATATTTGCCATGGTTTTCTTCCTATTGAAAGAAAACTCACTGGCAAGTATTCAAAATGATTGAATAGACAAAACAGTCTTATATCAGATTAAAAATAAGAGTAGTTTATAATTTTTAAAACTAAACACAGAACAGCTAGTGGACTTAACAATTTATATTTTTATTTTCACTCCTAAACTGCTGAATCCATTTTAATCACAGCTGGGACAGGGACAGCCAACAACAACACATTGCTCCTAGTGTGAGACCTTTTTATGCCCTCTTTTGGGATGCATTAAATGTTGAAGACCAAATTATGATCCTTTCCACTGCCAGAAAGCATCAGCTAAGCTTTTCAAAAATTTGAATGAATAGAATCAGGCCTTTAAAAATAAGTCTCTTCTGTATTACCAAACAGACTGATTCCTAAGCACCTTCAGCTGACCTCAGAGTTTTCATGTACTTTGCACCTTAAAGATCAGAAGGAAAGAGGTTAGGTATTGGTATAGGCTAGGTATTGGAATAGGCTATGTACTTCAGTATTAGGTTGATTTTCTTTCTAAGTCTTTCTAAGACTGGTAGCCTTAGCCATTGACCTCCCATATAGAAAATACTCTTCCATACTCTTTCTTTTAGTAAGTACTCTTCGTTTTCAGCATCGCTAATTGTGTAAGGGAGGTGAAAATTTAAATTTTAAAGTTGTTGGAATACAGAGAAAACATGGAACTCTCCTGTGTGCTTTCCAAAATCACGATTTATCTGTGGTTTATTCAACAATACACTCAATATCACCTGAACCAAAGTGATACAGAATATGTGACTTAGGCTCAGGGGCTTATGACTGAGCCATCAGGACCTAATCTCATAAATTCTGTATATTCTGTTCTGATAAATGGTCAGGCAATGATAGTCAATGACCTAAAAAAAAAATTAGAGCCAGAGCTTAAAATTTCACTGAAACACTGGTTACAAGTACAACATAGGAAATGTTCAACTTGTGTTTGGACAAACAGAGGAAAATAAGTGAATTATAGATTTTTTTTTCAGTTGGGAAAGATAGCAGCTTGATATAAATAAATGCAATCTGCACTTTTATATGTAACCGTACAGTTACTTTTTATGGACTTCAGCTTTTCAGAGTAAGTGATTTCAAAAGAATTTCAAAAAGCATTTTAAAGGAGAGAGATGAGTTTTATAGAGAGTGTTGTTATATTGAATTTTGATGATTTTTTTTAAATTTCAAGTTGAAAATATCATCTTAATAGAAAAATAAGCTCAAACATTCTAGAATTTAGCCTTAATGTTACTTTGCTCTAAAAAAAAAAAAAAAAAAAAAAAAAAAAAAAAAAAAAAAAGAGAGAGAGAGAGAGATTTTCAAGAAAACAGAATGAGTTCTGTGAAATTTTTGGAATAGTCTAATAACTCTTCTACCATCTCTGCACAGGAAACCTGCTAGAAATAAAACACTAGAATTCACTTACATTCTTATTATGTAACCTTATTCAGTGGTATCTGTATTTCGGAACATAACACACAAACACATGAAGTAATTTAAAATATATATAGTTGG